ATGAGGGGTGTCGTACAGATGTGTAAAGTAGACAGTAGTGATGAAGTGTGGGGTGTTGTACCCATGTGTAAAGTAGACAGTAGTGATGGAGTGTGGGGTGTCGTACACATGTGTGAGGTAGACAGTAGTGTTGGAGTGTGGGGTGTTGTGCCCATGTGTAGCGCAGGGGTGGGTTAGTCGCCTATAGACACGCAATTACATCACATCCAGACAGCACAGCATCCACACGTCGACCCTAACACCCTAAACCCCTAAAACCCCAACCACACGTCGACTGTTTTTAATTGCACAGACAGCCCGCGCAAGCCAATGCTATGGCTCGCAGAGACTACGTCCACTCACAACGGCGGGCAGAAGGGCAATCTACTCAACACAGTCACAGACCACATGAACGTCGCCATGGCAGCCACGCTGCGCAACAGTGGGGTGCACGGGCGCATGGTGCACCTGAGGAGGCTGACGGAAGGACCGCAATTGCACCTCAAGGATCAGGTCCACTTCATGTACGTTGTGGGCAGGTGTATAGGCGACGATTAAGCGTGTGCTATCGGTGGACGGGTGCTGATTCGTATGAGTGTGATCTATGAGCTTCTTCTTATTAAGTGCGCAGGTGTGCATGTTTTGATTAAACGTGTCTTATCATTGGACTGGAGCTTATTATTTTGAGTGTGATCTATGAGCTTATTCTTATGAGTGTGATGGAGTACATGTTTTGATTCAACGTGTCTTATCATTGGACTGGGGATTATTCTTTTGAGTGTGATCTATGAGCTTATTCTTATGAGTGTGATCTATGAGCTTGTTCTTATGAGTGTGATCTATGTGCCTATTCTTATGAGTATGATCTATGAGCTTATTCTTATGAATGTGATCTATGAGCTTATTCTTATGAGTGTGATCTACGAGCTTATTCTTATGAATGTGATCTATGAGCTTATTCTTATGAGTGTGATCTACGAGCTTATTCTTATGAGTGGGATCTACGAGCTTATTCTTATGAGTGTGATCTATGAGCTTATTCTTATGAGTGTGATCTATGAGCCTATTCTTATGAGTGTAATCTATGAGCTTATTCTTATGAGTGTGATCTATGAGCTTATTCTTATGAGTGTGATCTATGAGCTTATTCTTATGAGTGTGATCTATGAGCCTATTCTTATGAGTGTGATCTATGAGCTTATTCTGATGAGTGTGATCTATGAGGTTTTTCTTTGAGTGTGATCTACGAGCTTATTCTTATGAGTGTGATCGATGGGACTGTTTTCTCTGCGAATGCTACGAGACGTGCGTGGCATGTTAAGCTCATAAGCTGAGTGATAAAGCATCATGCCCTGCCATTCCTAGATATTATATGGTGCTTAGCTGCAATTTTTCTGTTTATCTACAGTCGGTTTGTCCAGAAAATCAGATATCACCGACCACATTTAACAACACTCCATTCATATGACCATGTGCGGGTGTTTAGCTGTACTTCTTAAATAAAACTACAACACTCATGTTGTATTTAGCAGTGTGTAACTGTACGTCTTGTATAGAACTATTGTGATTATCCCATGGCACTATGTTGTATTTAACAGTGTGTAGCTGTACGTCTTGTATAGAACTATTGTGATTATCCCATGGCACTATGTTGTATTTAACAGTGTGTAGCTGTACGTCTTGTATAGAACTATTGTGATTATCCCATGGCACCATGTTGTATTTAAGAGTGTGTAGCTGTACGTCTTGTATAGAACTATTGTGATTATCCCATGGCACCATGTTGTATTTAAGAGTGTGTAGCTGTACGTCTTGTATAGAACTATTGTGATTATCCCATGGCACTATGTTGCATTTAACAGTGTGTAGCTGTACGTCTTGTATAGAACTATTGTGATTATCCCATGGCACCATGTTGTATCTAGTCGTATTTAACGCAAATAGGGGCCCCACTCGTTCAGTACAGACACTTGTCGCTTTGGCGTTTAATTACTGTCGACTGTTAACAGCAGTCAGCTCTACGCCTTGGCTGATGCTGAGCTTTGTCCACAGAAGTAGTCGTATGATGTACAACTGCACCAACGACTATCGAACACCTCTCATGCGCTCTCATCACTTCACTACTTCGTTAACACTCGCTTAACGACATGTAAGCGTACACCCTCCATCCTTTGATCCTTTGCTCATGTCTTCTGCCCTCCACATGCCCTGTGTACACACATGGTCTTTCATCATCACATCCCATCACTCACTTGTTGAGTACGTGTGTACACACATGTTCTTTCCTCATCACTTCACATAACTCACTTGTGCTTAGGAATGCTCCGCTGATGGCCCTAGCGAGATTGTTTCTGCATCACATTCTGTTGAACGATGGACTCACGGCAGACGCAATAGCACTGCGGGTGTGTGTGTGTTATAAACCCTAAAACCCTACTAGCACTGCGGGTTGCTTGTGCTATAAACCATAAAACCCTACTAGCACTGCGGGTTGCTTGTGCTATAAACCATAAAACCCTACTAGCACTGCGGGTTGTTTGTGCTATAAACCATAAAACCCTACTAGCACTGCGGGTGTGTGTGTTATAAACCATAAAACCCTACTAGCACTGCGGGTGTGTGTTGTAAACCATAAAACCCTACTAGCACTGCGGGTGTGTGTGCGTTATAGACCATAAAACCCTACTAGCACTGC